TTCACATTGACATGTTAACATTCACATTGATAGAAGTGTAAAATTGGCCGGCGGCCCGTGGGCGACTCGAAACCCGCCCGTGGCCTGTGGGCTGCCCAGGGCCGGCCCGACCCGGCCCGTTGACAATGTGAATATTCAGATTAACATATTAACATTCACGTTGATAGGAGTTTAAAATTGATCCGCAGCCGTAGGCGGCACGAAATCCGCCCGCGGGTCCGGTCCGGCCCGTTTACAATGTGAATATTCACATTGACATGTTAACATTCACATTGATAGGAATGTAAAATTGGTCCGCGGCCCGTGGACGGCCCGAAGCCCGCCCGTTGCCCGGGGCGGGACGGGCTATAAATATTCATATTTTAACATTCACATTGGTCGGGCTGTAAATATTCATATTTTAACATTCACATTTGTAAGAATGTAAAATTGGCCCGTGACCCGTGGGGGTCCGAAGCTCGCCCCCGAGCCGGGACGGACCCGGTTCGTTGATAATGTGAATATTCACATTGACATGTTAACATTAATATTGATAGAAGTGTAAAATTAGCCAGCGGCCTGTGGGCTGCCCGAGGCAAGCCCTGCCCGGCCCGACCCGACCCGGCCCGGCCCATTGACAATGTGAATATTCACATTAACATATTAACATTCACGTTGATAAGAGTGTAAAATTGACTCGCGGCTCGTAGGCAGCCCGAAACCCGCCCGCGAGCCCAGCCCGGCCCGTCTACAATGTGAATATTTACACTGACATGTTATACTCTTACAAATATTTTTTGAACGGTTAGCAATTTGGTGATGTAAACATTCATATTTTACAATGTGAATATTCACATTGATGTGTGAATGTTCACATTAACATGTTAACATTCATATTGATAGGAGTGTAAAATTGGCCCGCGGCTCGTGGGCGATCCGAAGCCCGCCCGTTGCCCGGAACGGGGTGTGCTATAAATATTCATATTTTAACATTCACATTGGTAAGAATGTAAAATTGGCCCGTTGCCCATGGGTAGTCCGAAGCTCCCCCTTGGGCCGGGACAAGCCCGGTTCTTTGACAATGTGAATATTCACATTGACATGTTAACATTCACATTGATAGAAGTGTAAAATTGACCCGCGGCCTGTGGACGGCCCGAAACCCGCCTGCGGCAGGCTCGGCTCGACCCGTTAACAATGTGAATATTCACATTAACATATTAACATTCATGTTGATAGGAGTGTAAAATTGACCCGCGACTCGTAGGCAGCCCAAAACCCGCCCGCGGGCCCTGCCCGTTTACAATGTGAATATTCACATTGACATGTTAACATTAACATTGATAGAAGTGTAAAATTGGCCCGTGGCCTGGAGCAGGTTCGACCTGTTAAAAATGTAAATATTCACATTGACATGTTAATATTCACATTAATAGGAATGTAAAATTGGCCCGCGGCCCGTGGGCCACCCGAAGCCCTCCTGTGGCCCGGGACAAGCTCGTTTGGGCCCGAGCCCAACCCAAGAACTTGGGCCAGGACCTGGGCCATCACTTTGAAGCTCGGCCCGCATAAGGCCCATTTAAGGCTCGGCCCGAGGCCCGGCCCGTCAGAGGCCCGATGTCTTTTTTGTGAAAAATAATAAAATTTTGAGAGAAAATTAAAAAGAATTAAAAAAAATGGCAAGTCACACCCAAGCCCAAGTCTAGGCCCAAGCCCCTTGGCTCAAGCCACTGAGGCACCCAAAGCCTAAATACCTTTGTGCCAGGGCTAGGACCTAGGCCTAATTTTTTGGCCCAAGCATCCACGAGGCTTTACATGGGTTGGCCCCGGCCCGGGCTGGGCCGAGCCCCTACATATTAATGATATGAACATTCACATTGACGATATGAACATTCACATTAGAGGTATTTTGGTAATTATGTCACCCATAGGATGTGAACATTCACATTAGGGGTATTTTGATAATTATGTCACCTATAGGACTTATTGAAACATAAGAAAATAATGTGGACTAAATGGAACATAAGTAGATGAAAAGGATAATTTGGTCTTCTTATCTCGAATAGGAATATTCACATTGATGGTGTGAACATTCACGTTGACGTTGTGAACATTTACATTGACAGTGTGAACATTCACATTGACGATATGAACATTCACATTAGGGGTATTTTGATAATTATGTCACTCATAAGATGTGAACATTCACATTAGGAGTATTTTGATAATTATGTCACCCATAAGACTTATTGAAACATAAGAAAATAATGTGGACTAAATGGAACATAAGTAGATGAAAATAGTATTTTGGTCTTCTTACCTCAAATAGGATTCACATTGACGATGTGAACATTCACATTAAGGGTATTTTGGTAATTATGTCAACCATAGAACTTATTAAAACATAAGAAAATAATGTGCAGTAAATGGAATATAAGTAGATGAAAATGATATTTTGATCTTTTTACTTCAAATAGGACCTAATGGAATAGTCAAAAAGAATATGAATTTGATGAAATAAAGCTCTTACAAAAAAGATTTATCAAAAAAGCTCTCTTTTTAAAAGGAGGGCAGAAATAAAGTAATTAGAGAGAGAAATGAAGAGTATAAATAGAAAAGCACTAAAAGTCCAAAACCACCAACGCAAATATAGTGAGTGGTATTGGACAAAAGTGAGGACTACGGCAAAATAGGAAACCTATACTTGTGTGGAGAATAGTCTAATAATAATATTATTATTATATTATATTCCAAAAGGATCTAACGTCAAGTCTTCACAATAGTATAATGACTATCAACATAGAATATTTTAAATGATACATTTTGTCCAATTACATGGAATATCAAACCCCATCATGTAATTTATTCTTTGTGGGGTTAGGGGCATAACCACAAATATCCAAGACAACTTTCATGGGTAGGGCCCACTTGCCACTGAAACAAATCCAAAGTGTCTATATACGTACCTAAATTCATGCATGCTTTTTTACTTTCTTTCTCATTCCCATTATCTATTATCACAAACAAGAAAACTAAAACATCTCTGGAGTTCTCTCTTCTTTTTGACCCACAAGGGTACACATACCCCTCACACAATTGGTAGCACGTGCAGTCCATGTGATTCAAATATGCTTTTCCGGGTTGTACATTCAAAGGGCAAGATATTTTCTCTTCTTCTGTCCTAATGTATTCTCACTCAAATAATCATACTTACAAATAATCATATCTTGAGATACATGCGCAAGTTCAATGCATGTGATTCAAATATGCATTAATGGGTTGTACCTATTAAAAGGACAAGGGATCCTTCCTTCTTTTGTCCCAATGTAATCTCAGTCAAATATTCATGTGCGGAGATTTTTGTATTTTGAAATTTTTAAATTGATCCAACAGCATAAAGTATTCAGACAAAGAAACAGATAAATTTAAAGCCGGGAGATTTTGATTGCATAAGGAGGTTGAATGATATGAAAATATTTAAGTAAAAGATAATCAAGAAATTAAGAAAGAATAATGAGTTGATTAAGTCAAGACCATGACCCAATGCACTCCCAGTCATATGATTATTCTCAAAATTATGCATCTTGAGATTCTTAAACGATTCAACAACAAAAAGTATTAAAATAGGCGAACATAGAGAAAATTTGGAGATCGGGTGATATGAAAATAAACAAGTGACAATCAAGAAGTCAAAAAAGGGTAACGATTTAATTAATTATTACAAATTTAATATTGATTATCTATTACATAAAAGTAAAAGAGGACGATCATGATTGATCAAAAAGTCCAAAAACACACACCACGCACAGACTAATATAGTCAGCCATTTTTATATTCTCTTGCAAATCATACCTAAAGTTCATTAGAAAACTGAACCACTTATAATCCCAATTGTCAATAGTTGCCATTTGGAATTATATATAACCATTGATCAGATAATGTAGGAAGGAATAAGGATGACAATGATGAATCAATGGTTTCCACAAATGGCTATAAACAACTCAATAATTCTAGTCTAACAAAATTAGCCACCCCAATTGAAAATAACAAACCTTTTGTTTAGAAAATCAAACATATACATGTATGTATGTGTATAGATATGTACACACACATATATATATAATTAGGGGGTGAAACTAAACTGTATTGTGATCACAAACTTCAAAAAATAACCACCATCAACTCAAATTTGTGATATTCATACTGGATTACATGCTTGACAGTACAAGTAGGATTAACTCCTTTATCCCTTCTTGGAAAAATATAAAAAGTGAAAACTTGCTAAAAAGAAAATCAAACCAAACTAAGTCTCGTGTTGGTTTTCATTTTTTGTCTTTCCGCTCTGTCAAGAGCTATATATACAGTTAAATTAAATAAATTGATATCTTATTTCACTACAACATTGCATATCAGTTTAGTCTATTCCTCTTACATTTCTATTTATAGTGATCATATATCAAATGGAAAACCAAATGTTGACAAAACGTAAAGTAAAAACATTTCCTTGGAATTTAGATGATACATAAAGGTAGTCATCAATCACAACCAAAAAACGTACCAAGTGCTGCTTCCAAGGAAATGAAGTTGAAATAGATGAAGTTGAAACACCTGAATTAATTTGAATTAATTTGTAAAATGCTAAATTTACAGCAGAAAACATATAAACTATTCCTCTTCAAATGTTCTTTGAAAGCAAACTCTCAAATTTGAATTTTGGGCCTCAACTAAGCCAATTTTACAGTCTTTCCTAACTACTCTAACGCTAAAAAAATTACTGAAGGTTTGTGAAGTTCTTGATTCTTTCCGCTCTGTCAAGAGCTATATATACAGTTAAATTAAATAAATTGATATCTTATTTCACTACAACATTGCATATCAGTTTAGTCTATTCCTCTTACATTTCCATTTATAGTGATCATATATCAAATGGAAAACCAAATGTTGACAAAATGTATAGTAAAAACATTTCCTTGGAATTTAGATGATACATAAAGGTAGTCATCAATCACAACCAAACGATGTACCAAGTGCTTGCTTCCGCTACATCTAAATAGATGAAGTTGAAACACCTGAATTAATTTGAATTAATTTGTAAAATGCTAAATTTACAGCAGAAAACATATAAACTATTCCTCTACAAATGTTCTTTGAAAGCAAACTCTCAAATTTGAATTTTGGGCCTCAACTAAGCCAATTTTACAGTCTTTCCTAACTACTCTAACGCTAAAAAAATTACTGAAGGTTTGTGAAGTTCTTGATTTCATGGCCCTTTCTATTAGGAAAATTTGTTAACAATAATATCAACTAGCAGTGATTACACTATTAGATTAGCTATGCAATGATAACAAACATTAAACACAAAAAAAGGAAAGAAAGTAACTGAAATTATGTATATACCATTTTGGCTATGAATGTTGTGCAACATTGACATTGTGGAATTGCTCGTCGATTCCATCGATGCCCTGAAATCGTTCAAGAATTTCCGCTGCGCAATGCAGTAACTTCGCTTCCATCATCACACAACTTTGTGTGCCATTTGCAGGGCTCTTCGAAATTCATCCGCGATTCCCTGCAAAAGAACCGGTTTTCTAATAACTCCATTCATCCCATTCTGCAAACATCTATCCCACACATCTTCATCAGCACTTGATGTAAAGGCGATGATCAATGGCCAACTGTGGCTTCGAGATTTTCGAATTCTCATGGAAACTTCAAACCCATCCAAGTCAGGCATGTGAAGATCCAAAAGTACAATTTGGAAGGAAGACACAGATGGGCCAAGGGCACTAAGGCATTCATATCCAGATGCAACGGTGGAAACGGTGCAGCCGAGTTTCTGAAGCAGTTTACGCGTCACCACCCTGTTCACATCATCATCATCGACTAGTAGAACTTGAAGGCCCCTGAAAAGAGAGTTGGAGAGTGGGTGGTTGGAAGAGTCTCCCGGTTCAGAGATGCCTATTACAATTGATTGCTGGAGTTGAAACCGAATAATGAGTGCCATGCTTTGATCAAAACCATCCAAATTTGGGACTACCCAGATGTTACCTTGCATCAACTGCCAATTATTGAAAAATGAGGTTAAGAGATGAAAACAGAACTTCTAGTCAAGCAAGGAATAAAGACTCGCATCACATGTTATATATGATTTGCTTTCATGATGTTCCAAATGAAATGTCTAATGAGCTGCATTTAATCACCACATACACTGCAATTCGAGAAGATATTAATCATCAAAATTCATAGCCAGTATGGCCAACAAACCTTTTCCCAGCTCGGAAGGATTAATTTGGCAAGTCAATATAGTAATATATTTATAATAAAAAATAAAATAAAAAAAAATCACTATGATCATTAATGATACCCAAATTTTACAAAAATAGACCAGGGTATGAACCAGAAAGGTTTTGTTAATTTGAGAGACTAGATAAACATGCTTAAATGCCTAGTTTTATATAATTCTACAGCAACTAGTGACAAATAGCTCATAAAACATACACACATATATGAACACGTTCATCATTCTCACCTGTACAAGCTTTTTGCACACGCTAAAGCTCAAGCCTTCTTCAACTCTCTCATTGCTGTACATCCTACTGCCAAACTGTGCTCTTGACATGGAACCATCTGATTGAGAAGCATTATGGTTAATTCCAATTTCAAACTTGACATGAACGTAGCCATCAGAGGAGCTCGATCTCCATGTTGCCCATCTTTGATCATTCCTTGCCTGACTTCCATTATCTGAGTAAACCCGCAACGTTACAAAACCACCTCCATTGTTTCCATTCAAAAGATTTCCAACCATATGCAAAATCACCTGAAAAACCCTTCTCTCATCACCCATAACATGATCAGGCAAAGACTTCTCAATGTCAATTTCAAATCCATATCCCCTAAAAACACACAAGCACTTGGCAAGGCAAGCGGCTTCCTTTATCATTGAATGTAGCCCAAAAGACCTCATTTCTAATAGGAACCTTCCATTATCTTTAATTGACATGTCCATTACGTCGTTTATCAAGGTTGAGAGGACATTGCTCGTCTTAACCATCGCATCAACAAGAATCCGTTGCTGGCCACTCAAATTCTCGTCCTGCATCATCAAAAGTAAACCCAAAATTGAGTGCATAGGTCTCCTCATACCATGACTCATTACCTTTTGAAACGAGTTCCTAGCCTGGCTTGCCATCATTATATCCTGTTTTGCCTGTTGCAAGGCTCGATTTTGCTCAACCAGTTGCTCTCTCATAAGCTGGGATTCTTCAAGTACTGCAGCGTGGGAGACAGCCACAGCAACCTGATCGGCAACCACCTGCACAATCTCGAGTTCTTGATTGCTCCACGATCTATCTTGCTCACCAGGAAGAACCAAAACTAATATAGCATAACAAGTCTGAACCATCTCAGGAGTCCCACCTTTGAAGTTAGATACCCTCAACATTGGCATCCTAATAGCAGCCACAGCTCCAGGCTCCACGGACCCTCCACGGCTTGCAGAAGCAAGTGCCGAGTCAGGTCCAAGTATCTTCACTCTTTCACTCTCTTTGACCGCTCTAACATCGGGGTCACTAATTGGGATAGAGACATTATACATGTTTGAAGCATTCCTCCTATTCAATTCATGGGTCAGGTTCATCTCTGTTTTAATCTCATTAGGCATCCAAACAGCACAATTCAGCAAATCTAGTGTCTTAGATAGCTCGACCAGAGTTGTGTACAAAATCGTATGGCGATCGAGTGACTTGCGGATCTCTTGGGTAAGCATCCGAACATGCCATCCGGCTTCTTTCTGCTTCTTTATGATTCTAACTTCTCGACCAAGATCCCAAGCTTTCTTCCTCAACATGAATTCTCTCAATTTCACTTTTAGAAGCAAAGGGATGAGAGTGATGAGTGTTATAGCAGTGGCAAAAGAGACAAGAGCGGTGAGGAATTTGAAAATGGTGAGGGCTAGCATTAGCTGAAATGGGTGCGGACCATAAGCCCAACCATTGAGCAAATGGGTCATCCCACAGAGAACAATGAACGCAATGAATTGAAAGAGTACCCATTTGAATGGGACGTTTGAGCAACTAACAAAGTAAAGAAGCTCAACTGGGATAGAGAAATAGGCCACTGCAATCAAGAAATCACTCACTTTTTGACATGTTAAAATGTTTTCAGTGCTCCAAAACCCTTCCTCGTTGCAATCGCATCGGGGGAAACCATTATCAGCAGCAGAAATAGAAAAGAGGAACGACGAAATCAACAGCCCATATGCTAAAGTCTTTAACATTTCATCCAATGGATAAATTCTTCAATCCATTTATGGATAATTTTGATGGGTTTTATTATACTCCAAGATTGGTCAAGGTTTTTGATTCAGAACACACTCAAATCAAAATCAACCTCAGAATATAAAACTCCCAATACTCATCTCCTGTACAACAAAAATTCAACAAAATCAAAATCCTAACTTAAACAAGAGAATAAAAAAGAAGTTAGAAGCAGGCAACCCATTTGCTATACATATATGCACACACATTTTGCAAGACACCCATTTGCAATAATTTACTGGTTTTCCATAACCAATTTCAGGCCAAATAAGATCTGGCATACCAACCAGATCAAGATAACAAAAATAAACTTTTATTTTAGTATCAAAATTTCAAAGTGATCATTTCATTACCTGTGTGTTTTCCGTGGGTTGAATAAACAACAAAGACGAATATAACACAAAATTTCCTCAACAACAAATTACCAAAATCCCAAATTATCAACACTTAATAAACAAACATATATAAGAAAAAACCATAAAATTAAACACAAAAAAAAAAAAAAATGAAAACCCACCAACCCTCAGACTTGAACAAAGCCAAAAAGGACAAAGACCACAAATGCAGGCAAAAGTATGAACTGTACCTGAAGAAACCACCGATCAGTAACCAAAAAATAGAACCCAGAATTTGAACCAGCATCAAATTCACCTTCTCATCCAAATCTATCAAATACCCACAACACCAAATCATTCACCGTCCATTTATATCAATCAACCACCACAACCCACCTCCTCCACCACCGGCGCCGCCACCAACCCACAGTTCAACAGCAAAACCCAGGAAAAAAAACCCGGTTTTTTAAGGAAAACCGGCCACCTGGTGGTTCAGTTTGGCGGTGGTGGAGTGAGGCGAAACCGGGTTGGTTCTTCAGCTGTTATTGCGTGTGTATGACTATATAAATATAAATACATACAAAAATTCTCTGTACACGAGACGAAAACTCTCTGAATACTTCGAATGTGTACTCAAATTTCAAACACAAAGTCTGAGAGAGAGAATGGTGGAGAGAGTGTGTACTTATAGAGAGAGAGAAGGAGGGAGAGATGGGTTCGCCCGCGCCGTTGTTTTGATAAAGAGCAGAATTGAGGAGAGAGAGAGACAGAGAGAGAGAGATGGAAAAGGACAGTGGGACCCGGTTCATTACATGAAGAGAACTTAGACGCACTTTTGCTCAATACGTCCCCTTCAACCCCCCAAATAAAAGAAGGGAGGTGGTTTTTCTCTTTGGTTCTCTCTCTCTCTCTCTCTCCAAATATTTATATATTTTTTTTTGGTTGCTCACCCTTTTCTATATATATGTATATATTTATATTTATAAATTATATTAATAGTCTCTGTAATTTAAAATAAACAATGTTATAGATCACTAATTTATTATTCTTAATTCCACTATTAGTGAAGTGACAATTTTTTTTTAAAAAAACAAGACATAAACACACTATGACAGTGGGTGGGACCTACTGCCACATTATTAGAGCCACCACTAATTAGGGTCTAAAACATTTCTCATTTAAAATTTATATTATTTTAATTTTTAATTTTTAATTATGGCACATTTGATTTTAAATTTTATTTCAAATAAAGATAATTAAAAATATCATTATTCAATTCAAGAGTAAAATTATCAATTTGATAAAATATAAATTAATTTGACAAAAATATATATCAAAAAAATATTTTGAATTTTTAAAAATTATTTATACTCACAAAAGATAAAATTATGTAAAATTGAAAAATCTTTTACAAATTTATTTATTTTTACCAAATTAATTTTTATTATGTATTTGAATGATGATCATGTAATAGATTATTGTTTTTATTTTTATTAAATTAGTTTCTATTTTTCCGAAACTCAAATATGAGAATAACTTGGATATCATTATTAAACAATTCCATTAAATCAAAAAATTCAAAACTAAAAGTATTTCATATATTAAATATATTGATTACACATTAAAAGCCTAATAACCGCACATTACATGATCATTATCTAAATACATAATAAAATTAATTTGGTAAAATTAATAAATAAATCAATGTGTAAAAAATTTATCAATTTTATATAATTTTATCTTTGGTGAGCAGAAATAATTTTTAAAAATTCAAAAATATTTTTTTGACATTTATTTTTGTCAAATTAGTTTATATTTTATCAAATTGACAACTTTGCCTTTGAAATTGAGCAATGGTATCTTCAATTGTCCTTATTTGGAACAAGATTCAAGATTCAAAATTTAGAATCAAATGTGTTACAATTAAAAAGTTAGGGACCAAAGCAACATAAACTCCAAACTATAAGGATCGCCTTTTTTTTTTTTTAATTTATGCTAAGATCAGTTTGTGTAATTGTTTATGAGCCCAAATTTTTTTAAGATCTGATCATCCACCCCATAGATCCCATTTGATTATAGTTATTTATTGCACTAAAAGAAATTGTATTTTTTGCAACACAACAAAATATGTTGCTAAAAAGAAAAATTCGTCGACAAAAAGTTTTTCCGACACATTGAGCTACGTCGGCAACCTGTAGGTAAAAGTGAGTCGGCAAAAGTTTTGCCGACGAAATTATCATTGTATTGGTATAAGTAATGCCTTTAGCAACAAACATAATCGTCAATAAAAGCCTTCTTCTATCGTCGGCAATTCACCTTGCGTTGGCAAAAGTAGTTCAAATATGATGATTGTGTATCACTTTTTCCGACACAAATTTGCATCGGCATAAAATATACTTTTAACAACAAAATATGAGTTGGCAAAAGTAAACTTTTGGCAACACATTGACATCGGTAAATATTGCCATTTGCCGACGATTTGTTTGTCAAGAAAGCTTTACTTTTGGCAACGACAAATTTGCATTAGTAAAAAATACACTTCTAACAATACAATATGAGTCGACAAAAATAAACTTTTGGCAACATATTTACCGACAAGTTGTTTGTCGAGAAAGCTTTACTTTTTGGCAACGACAAATTTGCATCGGCAAAAATAATTGAAAATCATTTGTATTTTTTATAAGATTTGCAAATTTACAAGAAACATTCCTCAGGCACAACAGAGCTATCAACAACAAAACACAAGAAAATGAAAGCTAAATAAGACACCAAAGCCTAACAACTAAACAGCACTTCCCACCAAACCAAAAGAAAACTAACAAAATAAACACAACTAACAGATTGCAACATACAACAACATACAGAAGCAAACAGCAATATACTGCAAGATACAACAGACAACACACAACAGACAAACAGCATACAGCACCTGACAGCAACACACTAGCACACACCAGCACTGCAGCAAAGCAACGTACGACACAGGAGCACTACAACATGCTAGCAGCATATTAGCAAAACACACCAGCTCTAGCAGCACAGCAGCAAACTTGCACTAGCACTTGTTCAAATAGCAAACCAATAAACCGGCACTAGAAACACACTTATAACATATTCAAGAGCCACACTAACCTGTTCAAGAACCATGTACAATAATATGGATGTCTAGAACAGGCCAAACAAGGCATATAAACCACATGGGAAATGGAAATCCAACCAATGTTGTTACAAACAAAAAACAATAATCATCCAAGCCATCACAACAGATGCCCATTTACAGCTCACATAGAAGAGCAAGTCAAAATAAAAATAATATCAAACACAACACCAACATCTGGAAGGAGCCACCAAGAAACATGAGGATAATCTAATTTCTCTGTAACCTGTATTTGTCTGTAAAACATACAAAAAAATCTATATATAACAAATAATACAAACTAAACTTAACACAACATTAAAACAATTAGTAATGTAACCAAATTAATATCAAATACATTTCAATATCCCAAATTTTATTCAAATATCCAACAATACTAAACATAAGAATCCTAAAATGTGTCTAACTATATCCAACAATCCCAAACATAATAATTCCAAAAAGTATCTAAATATTCAACAAAATAACTTATAAAACGAAACAAAGAAAAATAAAATGAATACTTACGTACGAAACAACAAATTATTATATCTTTAATGACCATATATATCACTACTGAACCACGAACCTTTATTACCAACCTGTGAACAAAAGGATAAAAATATGAGTATTTTATCAATGCATTAACTTCAAAAATAATATACAAATATAGTTAAAATTAATTGAATTAATTAAACTTAATTCATTTTTAAGTGTAGAAATGTGAGTATTTCATTTTTTTTTGAATTAGTTAAAAATTGAGCCTAATTTCCAAACCAAAAAACCTATCCTATCATATGCTAGCACCCCCAAGTCGGTGAGCAACCAACTAAAAGAACAAAGATAGAAAAGAAAAAAAAAAGCAACATAACAGTAACACAAAGAGGGCCCAACTGCTATTCCCTACCATGTTATCACAGACCACTACTCACCTGCTACTTATTGAAAACAAGAACAATGATAGGAAATGGGCATCCTAGATCAAATGATTTCCACCAAAAGCTACTCTAACTTTAATGAGATCACTGAAATAATTAAGAATCATTATTCCACCATGAAAGGAAGCTTCATAACTACGGCAGAAAAAAATAGTGGCATACACCTGCAGAAGCTACAACTCTAATTTTCAAACCTCTGTTGCTTTAGTTTCACACAGAAAAGATGCTATTATTCAAAACCCCAATCTTATGTAGAGATTCAGAGGTGCATCTCCCTATATAATTTTCACACCTCAATCATTTAGTAGTTTTGAATCTTCATCGAATTTTGTCGAGTCCTTTTAAATTTAGGTGGATTTTTTTGTGGACTAGTATAATGGCTAAAAATATTTTGGAGCCTTTTTTTTTTTTAAAATCAATTTATGGCGCTCACGACCCTGCATTCTTCAAATATAGAATAGCAATTTTGGACATCTAAAACCCTAGAAATCATTATCATCATCCTTTTCAATTTACTACATTTTTTTAAATTTGTTTATGATATACAGCAAGTTAATCTATTTCCTAAACAGTGAGCCATTAATCTATCTTCATGGGTGATCTCATGCTTAAGGATAAGATTGCACTAGGTCAATTCCATACAAATTCTTATCAAATCTAGAACTAGACAAATCTGGGTCAATACTAGAATTCCAACCCAAAACTGAGTGGAGGAACAATGTACTATTATAAATAAAACCAAATCAAAATTCCTTGGGTGGGATACAGAGCAGAGCAAAGAGGGACAACCAACCGAAGCAAAATAGAGCAGCAAGTGTAGCACAATGATAGCAACGGCAAACGGCAGAAAGTGTGAGAGAGAGAACTTCTAATCGTGAGAGAAAGAGTGAAAATCGTGGAGAGAGATGAGGAGTCTTACCTACCAACAAAAAAAAAAGGGGGAAATTTGGGAGGGATTATAAAAAAGTGAGGTTGAGTTTTGTTTTCTAATTTTATCTTATTTCATTATTAAATGTTTAAAAATTACTCATATCTTTTGTAAAATTATGTAAGATTGATAATCAATATTTATTTTTTAATTTTTTCACTTCTTTTTTTTAAAAAAAAATCTCAAACAAGTTTTAAAAAATCAAATCAAACATAAGTCACCTCAATTTTGTAAAGAGTTTAGATTTTATTATTTGGTCTTCTCAATTTGAGAGAGTATTTGAGTTTAATGGGCTCATTTTAAAACCTATCTCGGCGATCTGAACCATTTACTTTTTAATTTTTATTGACTAGAATATTCATGAAAAAAATGAAAATGATCGAATATCTGTGGCAATACATTTGAAACATATTTGCATTACAAAAAATAAATGGCTATTATTGAAATTATACTTATTATTTTTTAAAAATAAATGTGATTCAAACATATAACTATTAATGTCTAACCATCTTAATTTTTTACATAAAATTATTCTCAATATATAAGTTTTAAATGTAAATGGTTCGAATTACCGAGTTCAGCCCCAAAATACACTCAGCAAGCTTCTTTTAAGTTGGATGGCCATCTTAAAAGAATCCAAACCCCTTTGAAAAGTTCTAATAAAAGTGCAAATCACCAAACCATCATTTTTCACTAACAAAACTTTGGCTGACGAATAGTTTTG